GCTGCTCCACACCCCCTGATGACCTCGCCCAGCAGCCTCATATAGATGTGAAAGAGCACTGGGGAGATAGCCGAGCCCTGCAGAACCCCACAGTTGAGGCTCTACGGGGCCGACTCACTCTCCCCAAGCTGAACTCTCTGAAGACGATTCCCCCAGGAAGGATCGGAGCCAGGCCAACGCCGAGCTACCAATTCCCAACTCGGAGAGCCGCCTCAGGAGGATACCGTGGTCGACGGTATCAAAGGCAGCTGAGATATCGAGGAGGACCAACAGAGAAGTTTTTCCCCTGTCAGCCTCCCTCAGTAGGTCATCATACAGGGTGACCAATGCCGTTTCTGTACCATGGCGCGGCCTGAAGCCTGACTGGAATGGGTCCAGGGCATTTGTTTCATCCAAGTGCGCCTGAAGCTGATCGGCCACCATCTTCTCTACCACTTTGCTAATGAAAGAAACATTGGCAACGGGCCTGTAATTGCCAATTTTGTCTGCCATCAGATTAAGTTTCTTTCTAATGAGCCTAATGAGCATCTCCTTGAGGGCAGGAGGAACCCTGCCCTCCCGGAAAGACTCATTAATTACCGCTGTGGCCCATTCAGTTGTTATAGGCCTGGCTGCTTTGAGTATTGGAACGGCGTTCGTAAGTCGAAACGTTCGTACGTTGAAGCACCATTTCCTATAGGAATGCACTGAAAACCATTTAATCCGTTCTGGCTGTTTTTTGTTCGTATGTCGAGGCGCTGTTCGCAGGTAGAGGCATTAGTTCCCATAGGAACTAATGCAAAGCTGGTTAATCTGTCCTCTACCACTAGGGGAATTTTTTTTTCTTTTTTCTTCTTTGGCCTAAGATGAACTTAGGTCAAAAAAAGGGCAGGAAAGGAGGCAGGGGGGAGGTAACACCTTTTAAAGGAGAACACTTTTTTCCCGTTTGTAAATCAAGGCTCCGTTCACAAGTCGAAGCAACATTGTGCGAACGGAGCTGTTCATAACTCGAAATGTTCGTAAGTGGAAACGTTCGTAAGTCGAGGTATCACTGTAAATAAATAATATTGCTGCTGAGTAAAATCTTCCTTTTTCAATTTCAGGGTGCACATGGCACAGACACAATGTGATGCAGTTGTGTGCATGCTGAAATTGCAAAAAGGAAGCCTTTCATCAGTGAAAATCCGCTGCCATTTAGGCACTAGATCTGTGGAGTATAAATGTAATAAATAAATAATATGATTCCTATTGTGCGGGCGGGGTGAGCCCCTCCCAACAGGATTTTAGCCAATAAATAAATAAATAGCCAGAATCCTATTAGCATTTAACTTCACATGACTAATTGTAGCTAACAAATGAGGTGTCACAACAGCATAGTCAGCTGCATGATGAAGCATATGAATAAGACACATTCTGGCACATCATCATCATCATCATCATCATCATCATCATCATCATCATGAACTTTTAAGGGAGGATACAGAGCTTGGAGAAATTCCCTTTCCAAATTCCAACTCCCAGAATGCCATTGCTGGCTCAGGGGATTCTGGGAACTGTGATTCCATGTACTGTACCTTTTTCCAAGCTCTATCATAGGAGCGCTAGACTGCAGGTCACTTCTTATTTTCAACAGCAGTGTTGAGGCCGTCCTTAACTGGTCTTTTTTTTTAATATTTACAGTCAAAAGTGCTATTGAAAACAAAAGGAAAAAAATAAGGAAACAGGCCGCTTGTCGAGCTTCAGGGATGGAGAAATAGAAGCTGCCGTCTTTACGTCTGCACAACATCGTTGCTGTTGGCATGCATCACCGGAGCCGAAAATAATGTTTTCGGTGCGGAAAAGAGAAGAAAAGAAATGAAGTCTTGGCATTCTTAACATTCAAGCTTCTGTTGGAAATGCTTTTCGGGGACGCATCTGGCATTTAATTCCTGTAGCCTCTTGTCACTGAACCAAATAAAATACATATAATGAAGATTTTGCTGCTACTGTTCCTCCTTTGCCTGCTGTTGTCTGAGGAATTTGTTCACTGACAACTTTTATTTAGTGGTCACAGCCACACATCTGTCTTTAGGGTCGTGAGTTATTTGCCTCCAAGATGCGGGGGGGGGCACAATGGCTGCGTCTCCTGAATCAATCCCTGGCCTTTCTGATCAGATGGAGGCCTGGCTCATATCTCCTCACCAGGCCTCTTCCTCTCAGGTTGTCTCAGGTACAACACAGCTGGTACCTGTACCATGACTTACTAGGTTGCCAAAACAGGTAATCAAAAATCTTTATTGGCTTCCTACAACTTGACACCTTCCAAACGTGTTGGATGACAACTGTCATCATCCCCCTTCTCATGTGAGCAAATGGGGAGGATGGAACCTGTAGTCTTAAAAGACCTGCAGTATGCCAGGATGGAGCCAGCTGGCCTATACAAATGAACCTTCGGCTGCCACAAAATTTTCTGGGTTAGCCTTAGACACCACTTCTGGGCTTTTAACTCTATCCAAGCATATATATATTTCTTTATTTATTTAAAATATGTTTGCTTCACCTCACCAAGAGAACTCAAGGTAGCTTACCTCATGGAAAGACCATCTTTAAAGCTAAAAGTCGTAAATATACAAATATTTAAAAGGATCAAATACCACTCCAAGAAAAATGGTAAACACAAGAAACACCGAAAACACATTCAAAGGCATAACGGCTTTGAATTCCCATATGAAACGGGAACACCACTCTTCCCCTCCTCTGCTTTATGGAGAAACAATTTCTGTCTGTCTGTCTGTCTGTCTGTCTGTCTGTCTGTCTGTCTGTCTGTCTGTCTGTCTGTCTACTTACTTAGCTTATCTATTTGTGGGTTTTTAAAATATATCTATTTAATACTGTATCTGCTTTCTGCCCATAAGTGCCAACAGGCAAATGTGGCTATCCTTCTACTTATTTGTATCCTCACGGGATTTCAGATCCAGGGTTCCTGAGTCTTACAGTCCAGCGCAAGTATAATAGCATACTTTCCCATCTCTCCTGCCCCAGCAGCACAGCCGACTGTTGGGGATGCTGGAAATTGTAGTTCAGCAATACCTGGGGGTTCAAAGTTACAGAACACTATATCACAGCAAGATAATAGATGTGAAATACCTTCAATGACTCAAAAAAGCTTTATTGAAACATTATTTATCAGCACAGGCAATTTGCTGGTACTGGAACATCCCAGGTCCTGACATTGTGGTTTGAGCATCAGAGAGGAGATTGACAAAGTCTGGGTTCAGTTCCTCCCTCGGAAATGCATATATATACACACACACTTTTCCAGATTACAACACCCTGAAATCCTGAGCCACATTGGATGGGTAATAAAGGGATATGAAGACTCCCTGGAAAAGACCCTGATGTTAGGAAACTGTGAAGGCAAAAGGAGAAGGGGACGACAGAGGATGAGATGGCGGGAGAGTGTCATCAAAGCAAACAACATGAATTTGACCCAATTCTGGGCGGCAGTGGAAGACAGGAAGGCCTGGTGTGCAATAGTCCATGGGGGTCACAAAGAGTCGGACATGATTAAACAACTACAGTAAACAACAACAAAGAGTGGTCTGGTAGTCCAGATAGGCGGGGTATGAATCAAATAAATAAATAAATAAATAAATTCTAACAAATTGTAACAGAAAGAAAAAAAATCTTCCCAGTTTCCTGGAAGCTGGGGGAAGCGGCAGCACCCTTGAACCACAGGAAGAAAAGCGGGAACGAGTCGGACATGATTAAACAACTACAGTAAACAACAACAAAGAGTGGTCTGGTAGTCCAGATAGGCGGGGTATGAATCAAATAAATAAATAAATAAATAAATTCTAACAAATTGTAACAGAAAGAAAAAAAATCTTCCCAGTTTCCTGGAAGCTGGGGGAAGCGGCAGCACCCTTGAACCACAGGAAGAAAAGCGGGAACAAATAGAAAATGAATAAAATAAAATAAAAAATATTTTATTATAATTTTTATTTATAAATTATATAATTTATATTTAGAATAATATATAATAATTATATCATGTATATATTTATACAATTATATAATTCATATTTATAATTATAATTACTTGTATATAATTATAGTTATAAACTATATTTATAATTATAAACAAATTATAATTATAAATGTACAGTGGTGCCTCGCAAGACGATGTTAATTCGTTCAGCGAAAATCGCTGTTTTGCAAAAACATCGTCTTGCGACATGCAGTTCCCCATTGGAATGTATTGAAATCTATTTAATGCATTCCAATGCGGGGAAAAATTGTCGTCGCCCATAGGGAAGACTGTTTTGCGAAGCGCGGACCAGCTGTCAAAATCGCTGTCTTGTGAAAAATGGTCCCTAAATAAATTGTTTTGCGAGTTGCTGACCCAGCTGTCAAAATTGTCATCTTGCAAAAAACGGTCCCAAAAAAACCCCATCCCGTCTTGTGAAGCACGGACCGAAACATTGTCTAGCAAAAATTGCCCATAGGGAAAACCGTTTTGCGAAGCGCTATAGCAATCGCAAAAACCCATCGTCTTGTGGATTAACTGTTTTGCAAGGTAATCATCTAGCGAGGCACCACTATATTGTATATATGTTTACAATTATAAATGTAAATCATAAAACACGGTACACACCAGAAATCTGTTCGCCTTCATGGTGTTGTTCAAATCTTTGCCATGAATCAAACTCATAAGCAAAGCAAAGTGTGCTGCCATAGTGCTTAATCTCTCTCTGGCTGGTTTCCAATCTAATGTGCAGGCTGCACATTGCCCCCCCCAAAATCAAGCTGAGTACTTACTCAGTTTACTGTCCTTAGAAGGATGCAGGGCTCAGACAACCTTGAGCCAGTTACTTGAGCCCATTTTATGGTTACCTGTAACCATAATCAGGAGGTAGAAATAACAAAGAATAATCAATTTAAATGGGGCTACTTGGATACAGGACAAATTTTCTGTGACTGGAGAAATTAAATCAACGCAGCAGTTAATAATCATCATCATATGCTGTCAAGTCAATTCCGACTTACGGTGACCCTTTTCAGGATTTTTCAGGTAGAAAGTATTCAGATGTGGTTGACCATTCATTTCTTCTGGGGGTACTGTATTTCTGCGACCGGGCAGCTGGCCCAAGGCCACCCAGGCTGGCATAAGAGGCACAATGGGGAATCGAACTCCCAACCTCTGGCTCTTCAGCCATTTAACTAAACCACTGAACGATGCAGCCAGGACAATTATTTGCCACCAAGTGTCCTGATTTACGACAACCCATTTCGAAGTTTTCCAGGTCAAGAATACTCGGAAGTGGTTTGCCCTTCCCTTCTTCTGGGGGGAGCCCTGGGACTGTGCAGCTTGCCCAAGGCCACCCAGGCTGGCTTTTCTTCCAAAAGTCACACTGGGGAATTGACTCCGCAGCCAGAGACTTAGACCACTCAGCAATCCAGCCATGCAGAATTTATGTGCATGCAATTTATGCCCCACCACGTGTGGAGAAGATCCAGCAAATAGCTGAGATAATGCTATTGGGGTAGCCCGTTTCTGGTCAAAAGCAGTCTAAAGAGCTTAACCTTTTGATAAATTGTGCAGTCCTGTGGTAAAAATAAATAAATACAATTATAATCATAATCTTCCTTTTCTAAACACTGTCCAGCAAATTTCTACTCTCCTTAAAAAAAGGTTTTCTAGAGTCTAGTCAGATTCCCAGTGTGGTGTAACTAAATAGAGTGACTGACTAGGATTCAGGAGATCTGGGTTCGAATCCTCCCTGGGCCATGGAAATTCCCTGGGGGAATGGAATTGGTCTAACTAACTGTACTTCTTAAATTTCTCATTTACCTCGAAAGCCCTGCTAGGGTCGCTATACGTCGAGGCTCAGGCACATATTGAATGCGTTCCTCTCTTTGGAAAGGGTTAATATAGATGGCGTCGAGATTCCTAGAAAGGCCCCTGAAGCTTGGAAGCGGGAGGGATGGAAAAAGAGAGAGGACCTTCCTGTATTATCATTATTTTTATTATTATTATTATTCCCTCCGCCCCCTTTACGGACAGGTGAGGGGGGGGCTGCTTGTTTTGTTTTCACCCGACGTTCAGGAGAAGGATCTGTCCTTTACAAGACATGGGGGTGAGTTGCAAATGAAGGGGGCGATGATGATGATGATGATGATGATGATGATGATGATGATGATGATGATGATGATGATGATGATGATGATGGGAGGCGGCGGGGTTTGGACAAAGGGGAGGTTTCTCCCCATTCAAGAAAGAGGGGAGCTTTGCCTTTGCAAGAAGCCTGGGATCTCTGGAAGGATGATGGATCTTTGGAAAGTTTCGCCCATAAGCAGTAGAAAACTTAATTAAGAGTTATTGATCTGGTTTGGTTGGGCTGGCTTTGGAAAAACACCTGCCTGATACAGAAGTTGATACCGAAAAGAAGTTAAAGATATATATCCTTTAAAAGTATCTGTTTCTGAGTGTCAAGACTCCAGCTGGAAGCACAGGAGCAGAGAGGGAGGAGATCGTTGGCAACCTAGTGTTGTTTCTTATCAGCGTCCGAGTGACAGACGATGGGGTTGCCAAATACAGTGGGAGGCGGTGGATTGGTTCCTGTCCTTATAGTTTTGCGCAGAGGAGGTAATACTATGGATTGCTTAGTTTAAATTTTAAATTATATTTTTATTCTTGCAGTGTACATGCCTCTCTTTCTCCCCACTTTATCTCACAACAACTCAATGAGGTAGGCTAGGCTGAATGTGATTGGACCAAAGTCAGGCAGTGGTGTCCGGAAGTACCGTGCATGGAGTGAGGTCGGCCACGTTCCGTTATTCATCACGTATCTGCCCAGTTCAAGGTTAAACTGATACTGATTATACCCTAAAGCAGAGTATAATCAGAAGTATCTACATATTCATACTGTCAGAACTGGTGCTGAGATATGGTGATACAGTATGTGCTGGAGCCTTCGGGAGAAGTGATTAAACTGCAGTATTGCAGTCGAGGCTCTGCTCATGATCTGAATTTGATCCGGATGGGCTCACATAGCTAACTCAAAGTTGACTCAGCCTTCCATCATCCTGAGGTTGGTAAATTGAGTACCCAGTTTGCAGGAGGGGCAGAGGTTAGCCTGCACAATTAATTTGTAAACTGCCCAGAGGGTGCTTTAAGTGGCAATGGGGCAGCATATAAGCAGCACAATTACATATGAGATGGGGGGGGGTGTCTTCTGCACAAAAGGAAAGTCTTCAGTAGAGATCAATAATGACGATTTCATAAAGGAGCCTCCATATTCAGATGCAGTCTGCCTCTTAGTGCAGTCTCTTGGGAAACAAAAATAAGGAGAAATATTACTTTCCCGATCCTGTTCATAGGCTTGTTGGAGAACTGCGCTCCATGGAGGAAAATAGCATGAGGAAAATATAATAAATAAATAAGAGAAATTTGGCTTGCCAGAATGCGGAGGTAGATGAACCTTTTATTTTATGATTTGTTATACAAAGTCTTGAAGAGAAAGAGAAGGTGCCAGATCAGTCTTGCCACTTTGTTTATAGCAAATGCTGTCATCAAATATCTGCAACTTCAACTACTGTTAAAGGTACTGGACCAGGATTCTGATTTTTTTTTTAATTGGCATCCTATTTACAACTCGCATAATTTTGCATCTTGGTGTCAACAACTGGGCAGATTGAACTGATGTATTAAGTGAGATTTCTATGTATTTGGGGGACAGGTGTGCCCTATGGGACTACATAAGGAGCAACAATGGGATAGTTCAGGGGTTTAGATCTCTGGCTGAAGGGCCAGAGGTTGAGAGTTCGATTCCCAGCAGTGCCTCCTTGACAGGGTCTGGAGTTGATGATCTATAGGGTCCCACCCAGCTTTGCAGATCTCAGATTATTGTTATTTGGAGGGTGGGTGGGTAAAAAACTCAGAAATACCCTGATAAATGATGTGGGTATTGTTTTTGGGATCAGCAGACACCTCCCTTTTGGTTTTCCACATAGATTGATCTTTCCTGCCTTTTAAAGCAAGGGACAGGGAAAAATGTAGTACTTTGAAAGGGGAATTAAGAGACCACCTGTTCTTAAGTTGTATTTGTGAAGGATAACAAACATTGACAGGCCTACAGATATATTTTTTTTACCTCCAACACCCCCGCCCCCAAGGCAATGCTGGACTTTTCTTTCTGGCATGGAGAGAAATGCTACAGGGTGGGTGGGTTCAGAGCTGGGCTCCCGAAAACAGCACATTGTCAACCCTTGCATAATCCAATATTGCTTTGGGGGGCTGAGAAGATGCCTCGTTGGTTTTAACTTCCTCTGTTTCTACCTTCTTTCCTTAGGGAGAAGCCTTTCTTATGGGTTACGAAGTCAGCAAACATTGATGCTCCCCGTTGCTACGATCTGTGCTCCCTCCGAACAATCGTCTCACCACCTTTCTCAATGACATCAGCTTATTATAGCTGAGTGGCTTAGGTTCTCTGACTGTGGGTCCAGAGGTTGGGAGTTTGATTCCCCACTGTGCCTCTCTGTCAGGGGTTGGACTTGATGATCCGTAGGGTCCCTTCCAGCTCTGCAGTTCTCCGATTATTATTTTCTATTTGGATTTATTTATTTTTCTCTTTCGCCTTTCTCTGAGAAACTGGGACACAAGGCAGCTCTTACGGTACAGTGAAAACCTCAGTACGATTAAAAATTCAAGACATTATAAATGTTAAAGTGTCATATTATTTATGAACAATTTCTAAATGCATTAAAATTCATTGAATGGAGACATCATTCAAGAAGGCTAAGAAGCTCGACACCGTTCCCCTTGCGGCATTTCTGGTTGAGAGACTAAAAGTAAATGTGGAGGTGAAACCATGTCTGGGGAAGGAAGTGCCCTCAAAGTCTTAGACCTCGATTTCCAACCTTTCTTTACTCATGATTTCTCTGTGAGGATGAAGACGGAAGAAGAACCATCCAGCCTTGTGGATGGAGAGTGGAGAACAGAAGATGGAGGAGAAAGAAAGAGCTGCCATTTTGTTGAGTCTTCAAACTGGACACCAGCTTTACAGATTAAGCAGGAACACAAGGATGGTTTCAGCCAACATTGGAAGGTCCAGAGGCAGGAATTTTTGACTTGTCCTTTGGCATGGAAAGATCCAAAATGGCAGCAAGTTGATGAAAACATCAGTGAATTCTCTCAGGTCTCCTTCCCAGAGGGCACTGAAACCAGCCGGTGCCCGAGAGCTGAAGGAGCCATTTTGATTTCCTCAGGAGAAGCCCTCAAGGCTTATAAGAGTCCAAAGGACGAAAATGGAGGCAGTCACCAGACGACAAAGGAATATGTTCTCGGTGAAGACGGCATTGGTGCTGAGATCCAGCGTAAGCGCTTCCGAGATTTTCGTTACCGGGAGATGGAGGGCCCCCGAAACGTGTGCCTCCGGCTTGGGGAGCTCTGCCGGCGGTGGCTAAAGCCAGAAAAATGCACCAAGGAACAGATCCTTGAGATGCTGATTCTGGAGCAGTTTTTGACTGTCCTGCCCCCGGACATGCAGAGCTGGGTCAAGGAAGGGGGTCCCAAAACCTGTGCTCAAGCCGTGGCCCTGGCTGAGGACTTCCTGCTGAGCCAAGAGGAGCCCAAGGAGTGGAAACAACAGGTGAGCTGAACAGACAGTTAAAGGATGGTCTCAAGGGACCACCAACATGTATTTACATATTTTAACTACTCCTGCCTTACATTTGGATAAACCTGTCTGTAGATGAGATGACGCACATACAGTACTCCAAGGCAGAGCTCACAGAATTTATTATTTTCAATGGATTTCCGTTCGAAAACTGAAAATTACATGAATTGAGGCGTTCGTAAACCGAGGTACTACTGTATATTTTTTTAAAAATTGCAATAAGTGAGTTGGAAGGGGCCTGCACTGACCATTGGATCCCACCCCCCCCTGCTCAATCCAAATGAAAGCAGATTTGACAGATGGCTGTCCACTTTTTCTCTTGAATGCCGCTAGCATTGGAGCGCTCACCACCTCTCGAGGTGACTGGTTCCATTGTTGTACTGCTCTAACAG